ACAGAATGAGTGGGAACTGTGTAGAAAACCCATAGATAGATCCAGAATCAAATGGGAATTATATGCACCGTAAAGATGGTGATGCTGTGAGACCACTGAGCAGCCACATGAAAGAAAGATCCAAAGGCAGGTTTCTGTCATATTCTTCATCACACAGCAAAATTAAAACTGTTAAATGAGTAATGTATTGAAAAGCGAGGCATCGGAAGAAAATGTGGCTTAGCATTTTTATGATCTGAGGGTGAAATTAGTCATGAAATCCAATCATTGTAAAGCTGATGTTTCAACAGGAAACCCCACTCAACCCTCACAAGCAGAGGGAGGTGCTGATCCTCAGGGCTCCCTCTGCTGCCATCTTGTGAGGGGCTACTGTTCAGAGTGGGTCTTGACTGTGACTTCAGTACCTTCAGTGGGGCCTGACTGCTTCAGCCTGGTCGAAATCTTGCTCTCCCTGTAGATACTGGTTGCTAGACTGGTCAGAGCAGTCAGTCCATGGAACATTCCCGATCAAACCCAATGACATGGCTTCTGATTGAGAGCTCTGGATGCTGGGGGGTAAGGGACTTGGTGACCCTCTTTCCTAAGAAGGCCACGGAAGTCAGGTTTTGCAGAACAGCCTGGAACCTGAAAGCCAGTGGGTTAGCCACTGCGAGAGAAGTGAGATTTTTGATGGTCTTGTTACAAGGAAAGGTAGGGTGACAGGAGAAAATGGATTGACGGTGGTTAGTCATAACCAGCTTTAGACTTTCAGTCTCTAAATCTCCCTTTCTGGGTTGCTTTTTGTTATTTACAAAATAAAGTCCTAACTGCTATGCATCATGGACAAATTCAGAGACAGACAATAGGAAGCATGTGAAGCAAACAAGTAGTTGAAATCTCCAACCAAGAGTGACAGAGCAGCATGGAAAAGAAGAGCCCAATAAAATCTAGGCCAAGCATTATGGCCAGCAACTGACAGATGTCCAGCTCACTGAAAATCAAAGGATGTAAATGAGAACAAAGAAAGATCATTTATTATTTCTTTTTACTTAAAAGGTTGACAAGAATGAAAAAAGTTGATATTATTTTGTTCTGACGACAGAGACATAGAGTTAGACCCTTCAGAGAATATAAATGTGATTTAAAAAGTTATACTAGCATTAACAACTTTAAACCAACCAATCAATACATCCTACTTAAATTTTATGCTAGAAAAATACCTGAGATACATACAAATACCTTTATATAATACTTTTCAGTAGTCACATGCTGGGGATATTCTGAATTTTGATCAATTCAGAAATGGTAAATAAAAGTGTGGTATATCCATGACATAAGGGTGCTATGGGCTTCATAAGCGTGAAGAGACTTTAGCTGCACTGGTGATAAAAACTGTAATACAACGTACTAGCGTCATCTCTTTTGGGGGTGGTCAGCACATACATGGTCTAGTCATTTGAAAAAAATCTCATCTTACTGTTAATAGTCATTATATGTAGGAAATAAGATTAGGATTCAGTGGAGGAAGCCTCAGTTTTGCTAGCTACACACACACACACACACACACACACACACACACACACACACACACACACACACACAAAGATGAGTGCACATCTCCAGGACTTTTCCTTATCAGGAACTAAACTGTCACTTGCCACTTGCTTTTTCTCCTGACTCAATCTGCCTGCAACCTGCTCCTCTGCCCATGGGATAAATAAAGTGGGACAGGACATGTTTACTGAGAATTTTAAAATAATAATAAAATGAACTTAAAGGCTGGTTTGCTTGTCAATTATCTACCACAAAGTGGCAGTTCCAAAGAATGCTAGTGGCAGGTTCTCCTTAGAATCCATTGTCCTTGCCTTTTCCTCCAGTTCTTAGCCAGCTCCAATACTGTGACTTATGGGTCATGTATGTTCATGTACCATTTACTGTGCTGGGTGCACATGGGCTTTGGGTAGGAATGGTGTTCCTGTCTTTGCAAAATTCATTATCTCAGAAACACCACACAAGGTTGGGCATGGTGCACACCTTTAACCTCAGCACTAAGGATCACTGTAAACTTGAAGCCAGCCTAGTCTACATTGCAATTCCAAGCCAGTCAGGACTATACAGCAAGATCTTCTCTCAAAAACAAACAAACAAACAAAAAATCAATCAATCAATCAATTAAGCAACAACAATATAAGTCCACGGTAACTAGAATGACTAGTCAGACTCAGCTCCCTGCTGAGGTGGACCACCTACCCATATGATCTGCCTCTCCATCAGCCTGGTGTCCAGCTGGTCCTGTCCTTATCTTTTCACCTGTTGCTGCCCTGCACCTGAAGTTTTCCTGTTTCTAAGAAACACTGATTATGAGGTCTTTGTCTTTCATGTATCTACACATCTGTGCTCAGTACCTACAACCCCCGCAATCTGCCCTCAGTAGCCAGAGCCCATGTAGCTTTCCACTTTGCACCTTAGTCTTGCTCCTGAAAACCATAAAACCTTGGAAAACACCTGTGTGACCTGGTAGTTCAGAACTGGCAACTTGAAAAGCCTTAGAGGTGCTGTCATGGGCACCCTTCCAGTGCCTGTGGAAGTAGTTTTCCCAGCAGGCTCTCTAGGGAAGGGGCACGCTGGGGAAGCAGCACCTTCCTCCACTAGCTTTAGAAATAAGCGCCCCATGGAATAGAAAGGAAGAGAAAGGCAACCACCTAGTTTTATCTAAGCCTGGTAACAGAGAGGGGAATGTGAGGGAGAACAAGAGGGAGATGCAGTTAATTACCCTTCCAAGCAAAGGTGAACGCTGGAGATGGCGAGACCCATTTACAGGAGGGAATAGACCCATCATTGAGACTAGAGAAAGGGAGGATTGTTCAGGGCCAGGAAAGCGTCTCGATGTTCAGATTCCGTTCCCTTTCTGGAGCTCTGGAGGGAGAAAGGTCATGACTTGGGTTGGGAAGGTACACTTAACAGACTGGGAGGGGGCTGCTATCTTGGGTCCAGTTCTGCGCTTGCAACCTGCCCCATCCCAAGGGAATGGGCTTCATTCCTTTCTGGAAGCTGGTATGGGCTGGCAGAGGAATGGGTATCCTGGGAGAGGCCCCCATTACCATCACAAGGGCTGTCAGACCCCACAATGCAGTGGGGCCCCAAATGCAAGGTAACCTTAACCCTGCAGTGATTGAAACAGATAGAGGGGGAGCTCTCCCACACAATGCCGGTCCTGGCCCCTCTCCTCCTCCTCCTCGCACTTCCTCAAGAGCCTTTGTCTTCTGGTCCCTTGGGCTTGGAGGCTCTCTCATTCCCCACAAATGCTGCCCATTAACCTCAGAATGAGGCCTCCAGGGGAAGGCCTGGCCCCTTCTCTCGCTTCATCTCTCAGAAGCTCTTCTGGTTCTCTCCTGCTTGCTACGCAAAAAAGATGCCCAGCTGTGAAAAAAAAAATCCCTGGGTTTGAATTGGTCCCACAGGAGTTAGTGGTCTTTCCTGGGCTGGGCATTTCCAGCTAGTGCTCTGTGGTTGAAGGTGCTCTGGGGTGAGTACCCTGGGACAGCTCAATGACCACACCAGACCCTTTGCCATCTTCTTGTGCACCAAAGTGCAGAGTCCTCCAGACCCTCAGCATACATCCTGGTATGACTGTCTAAAACAAAGCTGATCTGAGCTTTTGGGGTTCCTGAAAAGGGTGAGCACTAGTCTTCAAACTATGCCAGCACTTGGGGAGGCAAGGAGAGAAGGTGATGGCTCAGAGCCTCCAACTTCACTCACAGGGAGATCTTCTCTCAAGGATTTTGTATCACTCATAGTATTTAGTTATGCCTTTTTCTTAGACACTGATGAAAGCCACAAACAGGCTTTCCCAAAGAAAGCAGCATGGGTGGGTGAAAGCCCAAAACCCGTGTGTACACCACACTCACATCCACAGATCAAGGAATCTGGACTTCTGGGTCCAAACTACATGCTATCAGGAGGAGGCATATGTGTGTGTGTATGTGTGTGTGTGTGTGTGTGTGTGTGTGTGTATACGTTTTGGCACTGAAATGAGAGCAGAGTAGGCTTCAGGTAGGACTGAGGGCAGGCTTCTCTTGGAAGGCTGTCTTTACTCAAGCCAGGCAGCTGGTGGTCCTGGTTCCTGCACAGGGCTGTGAGGTACGTATTTCCCACCAGCTTTGTGCTGGGCTTCGGAAGGAAGCCAGAGACAAGGCAAGGCAGCTTTGGAAACATCTGTGAGGGCAAGCTGTACACTGGAGAGAGGAGATGACAAGGCCTTCAACAGTGCATGGTTATGTCAGGCCTCACAATTTACAATGCCCTTATAATAGGAACCACTCTCATGTCACCAGTGAGCTAGCAAATGAATTGTTCAAGATGATCCTGCTAGAGAGCTGCATTGCAGGAATAAAAGCCCAGGTCTTCGGTCAGGCTGGTGGTTTGATGTTCCTTCCAGCCTCTTCTGAGGGTAAGCAGGCTGGTCTTCTTGCATGGACATTTCTACTCACCATAGTTGCAGAGTGCCCAAGGTTCATTTACTGTCTCCCAGCATACAATAGGCTAGGGGCAACTTCAAGCTTTAATGTAATCTGCATCTCAAGCACTCCTGTGGTGTCCTACAGTTAAATCATAAGATCATGCTCATGAGCACCTGTTCTCTCTCCTGTCTTTCTTTCAGACCCTTCTTCACTCTGCTGCTGCTCAGCTTCCCCTCTGCCAGGCTAGCTTGCTCTGGATAATTTTGTATCACTCCTGATTGGCTGGAGCCTGTCCCCACAGCACAGGTGAATAGCTCACCCCAGCATCCCACATAAACTAGGCACTTCAACCTACTTCTACTGGTGGCTGTGCGCCAGTGTCCTTTATTCATCTTAACAACACCTGAGGTCACAATATGGCCTCTCCATACCAGGTTCTTTCTAGTTCTGTTCCTCAGTCAGCTCAGTGGAGACACTGCCTGCCATCCAGTATTTGTCACAAATCACAGACACATTGTACAAAAGGAATAAAAACAAAAAACTCACAAGAAACACAGTGGCTATTGGAACAGGTATGTAGGATCTCATATTTAATAGCAGTTAAAAGAGGAACATGTACAGGGGAATGTGATCTACATGCTCTTTCCACTGAGGAGCTCCCTTATGCGGCCGCCTACAGCAGAGCTGCTTTCCTAGTGGGCATGAGAGGAAAAAGTTCCTTTTGGAGGTGCAGATGGATCTCACCACATTTCTCCCACAAATGTGGAACTGTGCAAGATGAAAAGGCTGTTTCCAATGCACCAGTAAGGAATGACTAAAATGAAGATGAAAAGGCTGTTTCCAATGCACCAGTAAGGAATGACTAAAATGAAGATGAATAAAAGAAGGCAAGGAGGGCTAGAGGGAGGGCATGGCAAAAGCAGTCTGGAGGAGGCCTGGTGAAGCCAACTGGGCCTGCACTCAGAGGTCTAAGTAGGAAACTCCTGGCCAGTGCCACCACCGGGCCTGGGACCTGCTGAGCTGGGTGCTGTGAAACTAGATGGACTGTTGGTCCTGGTGCACGATACTCATTTTGCTGAAAGGGACTCTGTGGGTTCCCATGTGCAGGGCCTGTTCTTCTCTACCCACACCAGAGTCACCTGGTACTGAGAGTTTTTTTTTCCCCATGAATGGCAAAAAAATAAGTGAGCCTCTACCTACCCACAGTTCACAAACCAGACTGTCTACACAGATATGGATCTGGTTGGAAGGCCGGACCTCCAGGCAGCAGTATCTCACCCCACCTGAGACTCTTCAGAATATGTGTGTCTGCAGGCATCTGAGGTAAGGTCACAGAGTTTGAGGCCTACAGGCATGCATACTGTGATCAAGTCCTCAAGGCCAGATCAGTTTTAGGCCTTATGGATAAAATGAAAAAAAAAAAGTTCTACTTCATCAATTCATAATCACCTTGACATTGTGGGTCCCTGGCTTTCACAGCTCAGAAGTACATGCTGCTTTTTATTAGGGAGCAGTGCAGGCAGATGCGGAGGCCAGAAGAGAAGGGCTGGGTGGACATCCTCACACACCCTGAGATTGCATGAAATTCCCTTCAGCAGGACTCCGCTGTGGAAGGTAGTGATCCTGTTCCTCCACCTGTTTTCATTCACTCTATGATAGTTCCTCTGGGGCAGAGGTGGGGACTAGACAAGCAGCAAGATGGAGTCTAAAAGGACAAATGCCGCGACAGCCCAGCAGTCTCTCTACTACACTGAAGGCTGACGAGCACAGGCAAAGTGCTTTTCTTTCCTTCTCAGTCAGCGGACCTTCAGGTTAGTGGAATCACTTCTCAGCCTTTTTAACAAATCCAGGGCTTGGACACACCATCTTGTCTTCTTTCCCACAGGCCCCTGCCTTCCCTTGGCTAATCAAGTTTTGGGTGTTCTTATGAGACTCTCCGGAACCTCTGGGCCATTGTGTAGCCCAAGGATGAGACTTGCAGGCATCTGCAGAGCACCTGAGTAGCTTTTTCTCTCCAGTTATAGAAAACTGTACCTCTATGTGACATTCTCTTCCTGTTGGTGTTCAAGATGGGTAGGGTGTGCTCAAGATGGGGTAGACTTATGGTGACCTGGGAGATACATAAGCAGTGTGTCCCAGAAGCACATGGTAGGTGACGAATGGCCAGTCTCTCTGCTCATTACTGAAGCTGGAAACACTTCTGGGTATCTGGGTTAGTGTTCCATGATGCAATTATATTCTTACCAGCAGTTTAACAGCTTCCACATTTGTCTGAGTGTGTAGACCCCTCTGACCAACATCACAGTAAAGCCCTTGCATGGTCTCAGGAGTCTATCTAGCTGGCCCAGGCTCCAGAGGTCAAAGATAGGACTCCAGGAAGCACTCTCGGGTGAGGCGAAGGGACAGCTCAGAAGATGGGAGCCCCGGGCTTGAGCAAGACAAGCTTTGTCTCCATAATGTGACTTAGTTGATGATAGCTGGTCCACAGGCAACAAGCCATTAGCCATAGCTGACCCTGTTTACCTCGTGGTGATAGATCCATGCCCAGAGCATCTAGTCCTGTGAAGGCTGTGCTCACAGTGTAGAACTTGGGACATTTTCTTTAAAGACAATAGCTAGAGGCTTTTGGTTAAACATGAGTGACCAATCTCAAGAAGTCATCAGGCTCTACCCAAGGTGAAGGCACCCAGGCTGTTTTCAGGCTTCAGGGGGATCTGACCATTTAGAGATGCTGCTGCAGGAGGCAAGTGTGAGACTCTCACATGGGGACCTCCAGAAGCCACTGCTTATCTATGTTATGAACCAAGTCATGAAAGAAGGAACAGAGATACATGGAAAGGAGCCTGGGGTCTTTGGGGGACCCAAACTGGCTTTCAAAATTCAGAAAACCAATTCATCCAGTAGGGCAACTTGCTTTTCAGCATGGGCCCAAGAATTTACTCAGCTAACTACCTCTCGCCAGCAACAAGGTTGGGTTAGACTATATTAATGAAACTGCCACCTATGGGGACCAGAGTGAAACCATCATCTTGCCATATGGCACACTCTTATGAACCAATACGTTAGCCAATGAGGCAGATAGATATCTTAAACTAAGGCTGGGTTTGGAATAGTACATAGGTATGTCTGCCAGGCTCTCCTATGCACTTAAGTGAGCACTTGAGAGCAAATAGGATACATATTATTATCCTTTTACTTCCTCATTTCAACTCCCAGTACCAGGTACCCACTGAATTTGTGGGGCCCTGGATAGGAGGCGGCTCATCATGTTAGCACTGACAGTGCATCCTTCCCAGGATAACATCAGAAAGAATGACAGTAACTTCACCTAAGCCCCTCATGTTCTTGATTATTCTTGTGCCTCTCTTACTGTAGGGAAAGGTTATGTGAATACTGTACAGGGGTTAATAAAAAAATACATATGCTCTCTTTGAGGAAGAATGCACAAATGCAGGGCCAGTCCAGGGGAGATCCTGGACCATGGGCTACGGCAAATGTCCTCTGTGAGCCCAAGGCCAACATTCAGGAGTGGTGGCTGCTGATGAGTCCTCGGAGCTGCTTGGCCACAGTGTCAATCAATTTCTGCTTGTCGCGCTCATTTTTCCGGAACTGTGCAAACATGTTATTCTTGCGGCTAGTATCTTTCATCCTAAACAGAGGAGAGAAAGGGGTCAAGGTGTTTGAGATGGTACCAGACAAAGAACAAGCAGGAAGCAGGATGAATGGCAAAATGTATCTTAACCATTACACAGAGTGGAAGAATCCAGAATATTCCCATTGTCCAGCTACCTACTCATTATGGAGCTATCCTTCAGGCACCTACCATCTTCCTGACTTCAGTTGCCTTTGGTCAAGAGCTAGCTATGGAGGGGTCAGGCCCTTATCCTCACACCTCCCCACCTGGCCCACCCTTAGGTCTTCATATGAGCACCTTTACAGGAGAGGAGTCTGAGACACAGCACAGCTCTGCTAGCCAGCACACTCCTAAAGTTTCCTGGGGTACATTTATTTCATGACCCTGCTAGGACCTAAGTGATGGAATTTTGAAAGTAAGGCAGAAAAATATTGTCTTAAAATTAATAGCAGGGCATCATGAGTCACCTGAGAGCCACTGTACATCTTTAAGCACCACTCTAGCTGGTCACTCTTTCTTGCCCCTGGAAAAATGAAGAGTTGGCCTCTTAATTCGTTTCAGAATTATGAATGAGAAGTAGTATGATGCTATGTGGGCATAGTGCTGAGAGAAGCAGGTTCCCAGGGGGTGGGCATCTTCTCAGTTAACAAAGGCAGGCTTTATGTGAGAGATAGTCTGGGCTCTCAATAATCGTGTACAAGCTCAGAGCTTTGTTTTGGGTCCTGCTAAAGCTCTGCAGGTGAATGGCCCTAATGAGGAGGCAGGGTTAAAAAAAGTACAACCAAACTGGCATTTACTGCAGTCTCTAGGTCCAGCCAAACCACTGTATTAGAGGCCAGAGAACTATGCTGTTTTCTGAAGAGGGCTTGTAATCCACAGCATCCAACGCTGTCGACTTACTCTGCCTAGTTTGTGCACCCTGATTCTCAGCCTGTGGGTGAGGTGGGCTGGCTGGCACCTTTGTTCTTGGAACTGAACTGGCTCTCTGACTTTCCTGCCCTTAGGGCTGCATGTGGAAAGTCCAGAAGAGGGTCTAAATTACTTCCAGACATACTTCCCAAAGGTCTTCAGCCAATTTTGGACCTCTTTCCTCTTCTGTGTGCAGCCTTTTGAAGAGGGACATAGTCAGAGGCCATGAATCAAGATAGGCATCTCACAAAGGCAATTTACATCTTGCACAGATGCTGTACACCAGACACAGTGTGTGCTCATCTATGTTTATATATCCACTGGAAAGCATATAGTCCACAAGGGCATTCTGAGTGGCAAGGAAGCTTAGCTGTCTGGCTCTTTGATAGTGACAGCTAATGCTAACTGTTACTTTTCTTCCTAGTCTAAGCTCACAGTAATTCTTTCATCCAGCACTGAGTTTCTGTCCACATGTGGAAGCCTGCTGTAGGCTAGGAGGGAGGGCAGATGACTTGACTGGGTTGGAAAGAGGGCTTTCCGTAATGCCCCCAAGGCCCTCGTGAACACAGTTTGTTTCTTTAAACACTAGTTGCACAGTTTTGTTTGTGAAACTGGCAGAGTTTTAGATTATTCTGAAGGACTCCCTTCCTTTTGCTGGATAAGCTATAAATCCAAACAACACAAAACCAACAGGAAAGAGGAAACAGAAGAGCCCTTTATACATTTGTAGGACATTTGGTTTGACTGATGTTATAATTTCCTGCAGCAGTGCAGAAATGGGTAGCCAGACAGCCTGTAGCTTAGGAGGAGGGCCCTGCACTCTATAGAAGATAGAACAAAGTCAAAAGGCAAGAAGTTCTTGGTCACTGAAGCCTTTGGTTGTATTCATACTCTCAGACGCTCTGAAAGCTGACAGTGGAATGATGGTTTGCACCCAGGGATATGCAAAACTCAAAGTAGACCCTCCTTTCTCCTATCCTTCTGTAAGTCTAGCATTCTGTTTTCCTCCAATTGGGCCACCTTTTAGCAACACGGGGACTTTGATTTTTCTAGATGGTACTGGCAGTGATATGGGTTCTTCTGTCTTGCCTCACTATGAAGAGTCAGATTTGGAAAAAGAGACTTTGGTGGAAGTTACCTCTGGGGAAGCAGGAACAGGTCAGGTGAGAAGGAATTCCTCTGAGGCTGAAAATGTAAATATTTCAATGACCTGTGAAGCCCTTGCCTTGCAAAATTGGGGATAAAGGTGTCAAGTTCACTGATGGCTAGGGTTTAGCACACAGCTTTGTTGTAAGTTGGGCCAAAATGGTGAGACATCACCAATTGCCATACCTAAGGAAGAGTAATGGATCTCAAAAGAAATGACTGAGTGTCAGCTTAAACACGGGACTATCTCCACATTTCCACTGTGTATTGAGAACTTTGGGTCGGGATTGCCTCTGATGAGGAATTGAATTCTAGACCCTAAAGCCATAGGCCTTGTCCCCAGGAACTTGGATTTGCTTAGGAGCTTTTCTGTCAGGACTGAACTGTAGCCAATAAGAGTACCAAGCATGCCAGGAAGCTGAATGGAAGAAATTATTTCCCTAGTGCTGATAAGAAAAGAAATCCTTTCCCTAGTGCTGATAAGAAAAGTCTATGTGAGTTCGAGACCAGCCTGGTCTACAAAGCGAGTTCCAGGACAGCCTCCAAAACAATACAGAGAAACCCTGTCTCGAAAACCAAAAGTCTCTGTCATCACTCCCATTCCCAAATGAACTGGTAAACCAAAGGTCTGTAAGGAACAAAGAAAGAGAATATTGCCTAGCTGGGTGGCACCAGGCTGGTTTAGAGGTTAGTTTGTCAGTTAGTAGGTCAGTTAGACCTACTAACGGGACCAGGATTTTAGTTTAGTTATTGGCATCATTGAGGAAATTGGAAGGACTTGCCTCAAACTGATTAAAAGTCTCAAGTGAACAATATACTTACTCTCTAGATATCCTAGAGAAGAAAGTCATTGGGAGAGAGAACCATGGGGGAAAGTTAACATGCAACCATCAGTTTTCAGCACATCTTTTGGCTTCAAACACAGAGTCCAGCATCCTACTCTTGTCTATTCTTTGCTTTCCTCCTTACATCTGGCACATTCTCCAATACTACACCCTACCTCACAAGTAAGAACAATATACCTTGATTTCTATTTTTGTCTAAAGTTCTACTCTGACCTCTTGGACTTTAGCCCTTGCCTTCCTAGGGCTGGAGTATGCTTGGCTGCCCATACACATGGACTTCTTTACACTGCCTTGATACAGGTACTCTTGTGACTAGTTAGTCTTAAAAAGCTCTTTGACATGGGTCTGCCAATTCTCAATAGTTTAGTAAAACCCAGAGTCAGGTTGCAGTGCATACCACTGGCACCTGTGTGACACATTGGCTATTTTTGAGATAGTTGGTGCTGGATGACCCAGTTAAGTGAAACCACATTTCTGAGGAACTCTGCTCTACATATTAAATTCCAAGGACTAGTACATGCTCCTCTGCTTACCAAACTGGCCTGAGCCAAAATTAAGCCATCTTACTATCTTCTCTTGTCTTCTTTAGGTAAAGACACTTTTTAAAAGGTTAGGTTGCAAGGTAATAAAGAATCCCATTCTGATTTGTACTTATCGCTTGCTGGAGCTAAGAATTACAACTGGATTAACAAGTGCAATGATCAAGATGGCTGACAGCACCTATGATAGCTTTAAGAACGAGGATGTTTCAAGGTCCTGGAAACAGGAAACTGGCCTTGTATGCCACCCCTTACCTCCTGCCCAACTCCCCATACAGAGCACAGGACTGGGTACTCACTTCTCAAGCAGGGTCAGAGCAGTCACAGGGTTCACCCGGAGGTACTTGCAGTTGGGTTGTCCATAGTCAGCAAGGTATGTGGACCAATCCCACTGAATGAAGAGGTCCAATAGCTGAAAAATATCCCAATATCCACACCAAGGATTAACCAAACAAAGGAAACCAGAAATCTTTTACTACCAGCTAACTCTTGAAATACAGAAATGAACATGTAATAAAAGCAAATACAGCTGCACTACAACTAGGAAAATAATCAAGTAAATGTCAGATGATAGAGTTATTTCCACCACAAGCACAAGACCATCCCTGCTAGATCCCATACTAGCAGTGAGCCTCAGAAGCTGAACTACGGAGAAACTATTCTGGACTGATCTCAAACCCAGGACCCATAGTAATCACTCATTATTCATTTGAGAAATGGCTATCATGAGCTTTCTGCACACCAAGTTCCACCTGAGGAGCCCAGAATTCAATAATGAACAAATTAAGTGAGTGTACTCCACAATGCAACTTCAATCTGTTATCCAGTACTGATGCTCCCCATACTCTGTTTTTATAGAATGGTCAATGTCCTTGACAGTCTTACTGCTGTTAACTCATTGTCCTAGACAGTTTGAGGTCAGATTCTACATTTAGCTAGTATCTTTTCACTTGACTTTTATCTGGACTATTTCAACAGTCTTTTTCTTATATGATAATTGATATTTTGAAGACTGAAATCCTCCTGCCTCCACTTTTCCCTCATCTTTGTTTTATCTGATGCCTTCTCAGGTGTACAATATGTATTTCCAACTAGAATTCTACACAAGTGACACCATGCCCTCCTTTGGGGCCATATCTGGAGCTACTAGTATTCCTCCCTTCCTCACTGGTAATATTAGTTTTGACTACTTGGTCAAGACTTCTGATTCTTCACCTATTTAATTATTAGGCTGTATTTTGCAACTAGTAAGATACTGGGGAGAATATTAATAATTTATTTCTATTTTATGTGTATGAGTTTTACCTGCATGAATGCCTGTAGAGTATGTGCATGAATGGTACCTTTAGAGGCCAGAAGAGGACACTGGATCTCCTGGGACTGTAGTTACAGATGGCTGTGAGCCAACAGGTATGTACTGGGAACCAAATCTAGGTCCTCTTCAAAAGTTGCCAATTTTCTTAACCGCTGAACAACCTCTCCAATCTCTGAGTAATATTTATTTACTATAAAAATTATCTAAATATGAACATAACCCCTAAGAACAGGAACAACAACAAAAATGGAACATTTTTTCTCAATAAAAATAAGTCAGTTGCTCCAAGGCCTCATTCTGTGAAGACACACTTTGAGGTAACCTTTCTGTGGTTTTGACTTTTAAGCATAATGTCCTACATATTTAAAAAAATAATAATGGGGGAGGGAAGAATGAATGCTCTGTCAGTTATCAATGCTGAGGGAAGGAAGGTGGTGGGATAGCCAAAGTTTGTGAACAATGTTGACAACTGGATCAGGAAAGAGTCTTTCCTAGATGTTTTATATAAGGAAAACTATTTGATCAAGAACAGTGTATTTATGTGAGTTTAAATATTACCCAGGGTACTCTGGCCCAGAAGGGTGATGTGGCTGAACCAGCACCAGCCTCACTATGTCTGCCATTTTAAATGAGTCTGTTGACTGTAATCTTATATGTTAACTGTTGATGCTTATATGTACATGTTTTTTTTAAAATCTGGTCCTTGGCACCCAACTTCCTGGACAGAAATAAAACTGGACTACTGGAAATATTTTGGAAGTGTGCCTGAATTGGTGAACATATGCTGTATAGTGGTTGCCTTCAGCTGGTGATTGCCATCAGACTCTGTAGACAAAGACTTACATCTAGAAAATAATGGGAAGAATGGTTAACCCTTTTATCTCTGAACATGGAATGAGACAAATTTTAAAATGCTGTTCTATTTTTATGCTGTTGGACCAATAAGCCACACAAATAATTAAGATGTAACAGTTTAATACACAGGAATGTGACTGTAGCAATCAATCTCAGTGCTGTCACTCCGTTATTACATTCTACAAATGTAATTCTGTTGTATTGGGACTGCTTTTCGTAAGGTTCTTCAGGGCATGAAGTAGAACACACAGTTGGCCAATTCCACAGGCCCCTTTCACTAAGACTTCTTCCTCACTGTTTCCCTTTGCCCAAGTTCTTCCTATGCCATTTTCATAACAGCTCCAGTGCTTTTTGGGTGTTCTTCTACAGGTCTAATTATGAAAAGAGTGGGTACAGGCATGCTGCTGCTTCTCCTCCTTCTCTTTAAATCTCTCATTTTCTTTTCCAGAAAGTAAAGGCCACATAATGTACTTCAGAGATTCTTCTTAAATGACAGGAAGACAGTGGGTGGAGAAGAAAGGAGAGAGGGGTACCATCTCCCAGACTTCATTATTGAACATGATCTCCAAAATTTCTAACCACATCTGCACACTACAAGTGTGAAGTTTATTTGCATTTTTCTTTGTATTAATTCATGTTTTAATCATTAAAATGTAGAAGTACTTTGTATCAGAATCAGTCCTGAGAACCGGTTTGATATTCATACACCAGCATTAGCAACACAGGAAGACAGATGGAGCAGCTTTTCACTGCCTCTTGTTCTGAGTGGCCCATCTGTGTCCCATCCAAGTTGCCTCAAGCATTACTGTTGCAGCCTTCTGCACCTCCAGTATCCATCCAACAAGTTTTTAGGTGTTAGCCTGCAACTCTCACCAAGAGCCGGGTGATGATTGTATGTGCAGAACAGAGTTAAGTGACCCGGAAGCAGCTGGGACAGAAGTTTCTCAGCAGAAAGGACCAGAACATGTGTGTGTCCTGAACTGGTCAGAGGATCTGTGACTAAGAGTCTGTTTTAAACTGGTAAACCTGATGGGTGTACTGGCCAACTTACTAATCAGACACACAGACAGTTCAAAGAGAGAGAGATGAGATAACTCTCCATCCTTGGTCTTCTCACACCAGCTTTCCTGAAAAGGGACTTGGATGATTTTTATCTATTGGTTGTTAAAATTGTTGACTCTATAGATAGTGACTTGTGACAGAATGCCAGAGGCATGCTCTATGTTTGTGATATGCTCACTCTTGTTTGTATTTTTTTGAGAGATACATAAAATGTTAATTTTTGAAGTCTAAATAGTTTAAATGAAATAATCAAACATTTATTTTCATGGAATTTGAAACAAATAAATAAAATAGGTTTTCTAATCTTGATTTTCTTTTTTTCCGAGATAGGGTTTCTCTGTAGCTTTGAAGGCTGTGCTGGAACTTGCTCAGTATACCAGGCTGGCCTCGAACTTACAGAGATCTGCCTGTCTCTGCCTCCCAAGTGCTGGGACTAAAGTTGAACACAACCACCTCCTGGCTCAGATTTTCTTAATATGATATGGACACATTTAGTTCTGCAAACATCTTAAAGGCATCTAATATGTGCAAACAGGTAAGCCATGTTCAAGTAACATTAAAATGAGTACTCTTCCATTACACAGGAAAATAAAATACATGACAAATTTACCCAGGCTAAATTAGTTAAATGTTACCAAACGATATGACTCTTCCTCATTTTGAACCACAAACTGAAAACACCAACGTTTTTCATTTGTAACCAGAATATACAAATTGAGTAACAGAGCACATGCATGTATACACACACACACACACACACACACACACACACACACACACAGAGTTATTAACTTATTCTGGCTATTAGGCCATGCCTCAAAAATGGTAGAACCATGTCAGGAATGTCAAGTAATAGATATGCTTATATTATATATAGAGAAAGAGTTCTATATAAAAATGTTCTCTGCACATTTTAATAGCAGCAGCAGATTTTGTTTTCTTATATAATTTTGAAAAGTTGCAAAGGAAGTTTAGGCAATTCCTCAACCATCTACCCCTACTATCCAATTTTTGTTGTTGTTTTGCAGGACTAGGGATACACTACAACGCCAACTGTACTCCTCTTTAATGTTTGGTCTTACTTCACAATAGCCAGAACTAAAAAATGAAATTTGTATCAATGAAACTACAACTTCATCCTAATTTCACTGGGTTTATCCTCTAACAGCATTTTTCTGGTCCAGACTCTAACTCAGTGTTCTGCACTGCACTTGGTCTTGTGCTTCTTCAGTCTCTCAATATGTTACAGTTTCTCAGCTTTATTATTTCTAGACCTTGGTACTTACGAGGATTTTACATTTTGTCATTTGTTTGGTAAGATATCCCTCAATTTAGGCATACCAAATAGCTTTCTACAAATCAGAATGAAGCAGCAGCTCTCAGTCTGGAAGTGACTGTGCCTTCCAGCAGGCATAGGCTTGTTTGGAGAACTTTCTGGTTATCACAGGCTGTGATGGAGGTAATGCTGGTGCCCAGGGATTTTTGTTAAGGATTTTAATTTTTTTTGGTTTTTTTATGCATGTGTGCTTGTGTACAACATAATTATGTGTATGGTTGTGAGCTGCCCAGTATGGGTGCTGGGAACTGCTCTTAATCACTCAGCCATTTATAAAACATCTCAGAGCGCAACTACTCTATGCTTTACTTTTTCTAATATGAAGGTACATCATAGCTATTCTTCTGTACTTTCTCCCAATAGAGCTATATTTGAACTTAGCATCTACAAGCTTTTTCTAATCAATCATCAAATTCTTGAGTTAGTAATACAAATGCTGTGCATTTTCAATATATAAACTAGAAGTCATTTTAAGAGTTAAACCAGATATAATATTTTTGGGAGCATTTCACTGTCAAGCTGATAGAGTAAGTGCCAATATCTGTAGAGTAGGACACAGTCTAAGTTAGAGCTAATTTGTTCAAAGGAGAACTTAACTTTGATCTCATACAGAAATAATTTGTTTATGATATTCATCAGAACAGGGGAATTAAACTAGTGTAACAGTTTGTGATATTTCATAAGCCACATGGGTTAATTAACTTAATAAACCATAATAATTAGTTACTACACAAAAATGTGTACACAGGGACAGCACATGAAAAGGAAATGGGTTCACTTTGTGGAGAACCTGTTTTATTGCATGCTATTTTCTTAATTATTTTGAACCTTCCTCTTGTTTAATATCAAGCTGTAATTCTGATTTCAGGATATATAGAGAAAGACAGAGGATTAGCAATATAAGGTACAAGAAGGTAGATATGGCTTCCTGGCCTGCATTCTCAAAGAGGCTATAGCTGTTTTTTTCTAAGTCTTCACTGATTCTGTTTCAGGATTATGGACTCCCCTGAAGCTAGGCCAAATATGTTCTTTTTATTTTTCAAGATAGGGTTTCTCTGTGTAGCTCTGGCTGCCAGGAACTCAGTATGTAGACCAGGCTGGCCTTGAACTAGACCAAACTTTTTAAAGACTTTCCTTTTTGGATTTGTAGCTGAGAGAGACTAGAAAAATCCAATGAAGTCAAAAGCAAAATCTTTTTCCAAGATTAGCTATCTAGACAGAGAACAGATAGGTTCTAACAGCAGGACAAGTGCAAAGTTCCAGGAAAGACCTGTTGGGTGAGACTGTACAAAGACAGGCCAAACTTACAGTTCTTGTTTCCCAAAACCAATTTGCCAGGCGGACCAATTGTAGGGTCCTTCCAGGTGGCACTAGGGAGAAGGCTGTCTGAGGACAAAGGAAGGTCAAACTGGAGGAATGCATCCATGCTGGGAGAGAACCCAGTCTTGGATATTTGACTTTAGGGTTCCAAGCAAAGGTACCCATAAGCAATGCAGAAGAGCCCAGAGGATTCTGGTCATGTTTGCACCAGCTCCACTGGGTAGCACTGGCCCAACCTCATTCTGCCAAAACTTCCTCTTTCTAGCATGCTGCAAAGATTCCACAGAGCACAAAGAATGGCAGGAGCAAAGGTAGGTACACATAGCAAAGGACACCTTGACAGGAGCCACACCCTGCTTTCCATAGACTTGATTTGTTGACAAGTTTTCTCTTGAATGGGCCCACTGATTCCTGTAGAAACTGCTCTGAAAACAATAATGTCCTTGAGGTAAAAGGAAAACTTGAATGTATATATATATATATGTATATATATATATATATATATCAAAAAGAATTCTTCACACAAACCAGGATAGAGTACAAGATAATAATGATAGCATGCCTCTCTAAGATACTTATACCACAAAATTCTGACTATACTGTGTCTTCTGTAAGTACAATCGTCTTACACAAGGGGACAGGAACATTAGAACACTAGGTAGGAATCTGTTGCTCACTGACAGTCTGACAGGATAAAATTCATCACATCATAAGGCATTCTTCACAATGTAATACCTACAGGTACTTTTTAGGCGGCAGCAGGGCACAGAAAGAACAAATGCAGGCCCAGGGTTCTCCAACTGAGAGTGTGATCGCAGATAAAGCATCTATCAACACCTGAGGGAAAGCCAAGAGAAAGACTGTAGAGAAACTGCTAACAGCAGACCCGACCATGACCCATCTGTGTTTATTGCCAGGATTTCCCCTGACCCCATGCCCTTGGCCATGCAATTCAAAGAACAGCTTTGGCTTGCCTCCTGTGTGACCTCAGAAATGTTTCCTGATACAGACATCTGGGCAAATGTCAGAAGAAGAATGAAGAACTTTAACAAACACAGTACTAATAATGTAGCAGGCACTCCCAGGTACTGCACAGGGAAGATAGTGGGGCTGGTAAATGAGCAGATGCAGAGTGAAAGACACTAAAATACCGAAGAGGATGACATATTTTACAAGAAGTGCTTATAGATCCAGGCCAGGCAGGTGGTAATTGGCAGGGGTAAGGTAGGAGTGCCAGGCAAGGAAGTTGACAGGGTAGTTTCTGAGGAATACTTTAGATATAACTAAGAGAAAGGAAGCAAGGGACAAATGGCATTGATGTGCTAAGTTAAGGGGACTGAGTTTCAGCTGAAAGCCTTTCTACTTGTTTTATCAAGGATGCTCCCTGGTATTTTCTAGAGCAAAAGATGGAAAACTGTAATCACCACCTATTTTTTAAATAAAGTTTTATTGGAACAGAGTTGTGTTCACTGGCTAACATCATAGCTATGGCTGCTTTTATGTAGTGATAGCTGAGGTCAATAGCTATGACAGCCAGCATATGCCAGGAAAGCCTAAAGCTGTACTTTTGAATTTTTCAGGAAAGTCTAGCTTTAGATCTAGGTCAAAAAGGGCAGTGTGTGTATGTGTGTGTGTGGGGTGAGGTCTCACATATCTATTAAGTTAAAGAAAGGAAAGAAGACAAAGTACTCAGTCACAACAGGGTGGTAAGAACTTCATTATTGCAACAACTGGCACCAGAATTCCTTTAGGAGAGAAGTGTTTGGGAAGATTTTTCTGCTTGAGTGAAGCCCTCAAGATACAGAAGCATCTTCAGGTAAAGAAGGAGAAATTTGTGGTGCTGGTTAAGAGGCAGATCTGGGAAGAGGGGTGATTTAACTAACATGTATGGCAAAGGCTAAAAAGAAAATCTCTAATGGTTCTATGGCCTGGACAACCCTGGAGATCAGAAATCTGAGTAAGGAGTTGTTTCAAAGCTGTTGGCTGTCTGGTTTAGAGAAATCTCTGGTTTGAGATGCTGGGTGAAGGCTGGCAGGCTGGCTCCTCCCTCTTCCCTGCCTCTCTCTGTGTGCCTCAAAGCACAACTTGATAGCTGCAATCTTACTGCACAAACAGAAGCCCAGGAGGTACAAAGATGGACAGTGCACAGGGGCTCACAGCAATCCAGAGGAGGCCTCTGGATTTTCCACAGGGGACAAAATTGGGACTGGAGAAACTTCCTGGGCTCTCTGGATTTCTACTCAAACCTTGCAACAATGGCCATGCTACAAGCTGGGTCCTAGAACTTCTAGGAGGGTCAAGCCTCCTTTTTCCTCTGCTGGGAAAGAAGGAAGGGAAAAAGTGAGTCATGGGTGTGTGGTTGGTACCTTGCTGTTCTTGCAACCCCATAACTTGGATGTAGGCATCATGAAGCTGTTTCAGTGGGCAACTGAGCAACACTTTCTTCTTAAAGAAAACATAACTTTCAGAAACATTATTTGCCTCAATAATTCATGTTTCTAGATTGCCTATCTAAGCTTTTTACTCCTACTATTATATTGGCAGAGCAAGGGAAAGGTAGGTAGGCTGAAAAGGCCTCCACAGTCATCTCCAGCTGGGGCCTGAAGGAGCCTCTCGAATGGGGATACAGTACCAAACACTTCTTCCAATGATGTTGACCTCTTACTAAGCACAGCATCTTGCTGAGGAGACGGAGGCAGGGCCTTGATGGGTGCTGATGAGTTGCCACTTTTAGGTGTGGGGAGTCAGTAGGTGAGAAGTTTGGGTGGAAATGCTGCCATAGATGTAGTAGGAGAAGGGGCTAGTAGCCTTGAACTATTTTTTTCTTCCAGTATACTGTCCTTTGAGCTAGGGACTATATTACTGAGTTGTTAACTGAATTATCACACATTCCTAACTGGGTTTAGGAGCATCTCTGCAAAGAGACCATAGATGGAAGGTAATACCAGAAATACAAGCATAAGCAAGCATTGAAACAATGGCAAAACTCAAAAGCTCTAACTACAGTCAGTACAGGCTCTTTATCACCTACTTTAGAAGGTAAAATCAGTGACACAACCATCAGACGTGATAAACAGCCTCTAAGATTAAATCAGAAAATATACTTGAAATATAATTTATATACAGAACTATAGGTGATGAAATTTTCTTAGCCTGTATAAATAATATGTACTTTAAAATGTTAGTTGTTTAGTATGTACACATATACACACACACACACACACACACACACACACACACGCCTCTAAAGGCAATTATAATGTTCCATGTCAAACTGCAGTGGGGAAGAAGGTGTAGATTGGAGTATCTTTTTGTATTGATTCATATCTAATTATAGTTCATTAATAAATTGCTATAAACATAAATATGTACTACAGGTGAGTCTTCAAAATTTATTTTACCAATAGCGGTGCTCAACAAAAAGTTTGGAGAAACTGGGTAGAATATGCAGGGAAAATTATCATAACCATGTGTGTTGGTGCTCACCCATAATCCCAACATTTTTGTGGTTGAGGAAGGAAGATCATGAGTTCAAGTTTAGCATGGGCTATATAGTGAGTTAGAGGTCAGGCTGGGGTTACATACATAATATGATCCTTCCTCAAGAAACAAAAACAAGCAAGAAAACTACCACAAAGTCATAATAAATGGCTTTGGTTCTTGTTTGAATGAAAATGGCCCCTATAGGTCCATAGGGAGTGGCACGACTAGGAGGTGTGGCTTTGTTGGAGGAAGTGTGTTACTAGGGATATGTGTGTGTGGGGTGGGCTTCGAGGTTTCAGAAGCTCAAGCCAAGCCTAGTGCCTCACTTTCTCTTTCTGTTGCCTGCTGATCCAGATGTAGAACTCTCAGTTGCTTCTTCAACATCATGTCTGCCTGTATGCTACCATGCTTCTTGTCATCATGACAGTGGACTAAACCATAAGTCAGCCCCAGTTAAATATTTTCCTTTATAAGAGTTGCTGAGGTTGGGCGTCTCTTCATAGCAATAAGACTCTAAGACAGTCTTCCTCTTAGATGTATAAATGAAGAAACAGCTATAGAGCTTCTGTAGATCATAATTACAAACCACAGCCCAGGTAATTTCTATAGGTCTAAGAAAGCATGTATAACACTAAAAGATGATTTATCAGGGAAAGCACTTACACCCTGGAAAAGATGAGAATAAGGTAAAATATTAGTAGCCTAGGAATAGTTGAGTCTAGCTAGAAGGCTTAGTGACAGTTAACTTCTTAAACCCTTACTCATCTCTGTAAGTAGAGATAAATACACTAAATCTGTAATTCCACTGCCAAAATGTAGAACTAATCAATAGACTGACTAAAGTACCAAAAGATGAGCTTTAACTACCCTCAAAAAACTTCAGTTTAATAAGGAATCTGCTCATAATACTTGCAGTATATCAGTACTACTTCCTGGGAAAACTGAAGTTTTATCCTTATAGATTTGAGACATTTCTTATTTCTCTTTTCAAAATATTTCTTTTCCTTCTAATTCCAGTTGCTAATTACATTGTAGTTGATCTTGCCAAGTTCTCTTTGGAAGCAGGTGATGACACAATTTGCTAAAAAATTGGACCTAGCTGATGGGGGTGTCCTTCTCTTATCGGTTGATGAATAAAACACTGGCCAATAGTCAGTAGAGGCAGGAAGATAGGCGGAACTAGGAGATGAGGAGAATTCTGGGAAAGGTAGGCAGAGAAGCGGCGAAGGGATGCCATGGAGGAATGGGGGGGTGGATAGGACACGCCAGGCATTTTCCAGTGAGATAAGGCCATGTATAAATACATAGATTAATAGAAATAGGCTAATAATTAAGAGAAAGCTAGCCAATAAGAAGCCCTAGCCATTGGTCAACAGTTTGTAAATTAATATAAGTATCTGTGTGTTTATCTGGGGCTGAGAAGGGTGGCGGGACCTAGGGGACAAGAAAATTCCAGCAATACCTAGCCTAGCACCTGCCCCTGAGGGTCAAAGGGGAGGGCCAGAGATAGTCTTGTATGTTAAATCCCCAGTGAGGAAAGATAAGAACTCCAAAGATAGCTATACTCTGTTGGATCAACAGGAAGAAAACAGGGAATTGCAAGCAAACTGACTAATAGAGGCCAAGGAGCAGAAGTAAGAGGAGCAGAGACCTGATAATGGGACCATCTAATACATGACAGATGCTAGGCTATGTATCTATCTGTTATTTGATGCTCCCCAAAAGCTGCCATTTAAAAGAAATGAAGAACATTAAACATGGATTGATGAGCTGTGGTGATAGCTAAGTGGGAAAAAAAACTTGTCACACAAATATGAGGGCCTGAGTTTGTAACCTTACAACCTGCATAAAATCTGGGTATGGGTACCTATGGTGCGAAAGGAGGCAGAGACAGGAGGATACCTAGAAACTTGTGGGTTGGATAGGTTGGCTCACATTAATGAACAGCAAGAGAACCTGTCCAAACAAGGTGGAAGGTAAGAACTGACACCCAAAGTTACCTTCTGTCCTCCACACATACGCTATGGTATTCATGCTGTTTTAGTTACTTTTCTTTTGCCATAATAAGACAATGTGACTAGGGCAATTTACAGAATAAAGAAATTATTGGAGTTTAGAGTTCAGAGGGTGAGTCTATGGCCATCATGGTAGGGAGCAATGCAGTGGCAGGCAGACATGGTCCTGAAGCAGCAACTGAGAGCTCATATCCTGATTCACAAGCACAAGGCAGAGAAAGAGAGCAAGCTAACTGGATTTTGAAATCTCAAAGCCCAGCTCCAACAAGGCCACACCTCCTAATCCTTTCCAAACAGTTCTACTAATGGGGGTCTGAGTATTTAAATATATGATTCTAT